ATGCTATTTCGCAACTTGTTTTTGACACATGTCATTGCAGAAAACACTCTTTCAACACTTGCCGTGGCAACGGGAAGAATCAACATCAACTTGATAAGCAAATGAATTGCCGTTGCCATAATGTTTATTCTTTTTCCCGGATCATGAGGAAGAAGTTCAACATCGTACACCGAATCTTCCTCTAATGGTACATTACTATTACTTGAACCACCCATTTCCATACTATTTTCTTGACTTTGAGGGGAGCTAAATGAAGGTGAGTTATTGGACTCATTTTCATTGGACTCATTTTCATTGAGTTTCGTTCTTTTAAACAAGAATTGTCGAAGATCGGGTTGTTTAGTTGCCTTTGATTTGTTTGAATTTGGTGAATCGTTTGACATTTCCTAATTAAATCGAAAATTATATATCAATTTCCACAAGACCACAATCCACATCATTACATAATAACAAAACCTAAGAGGCTAAGATTTTAAATTTCTAATTCAACTACACATTTCAATAATTTACAATAATTAATAATTTAAATTCACATTTCACAAAAACAACCAAAAACTCTAACAGGGGAAACAATCAAACAAATATAAATCAATAATCATTTATCAATTCAAATTATTCAATAATCAATACCCACAAGGCCACAAATGACAAATTCACAATAAAAATATAAACAATTAAACAATTAAACATTTAAACAAGTAATAAAAATATGAAATTCAGAATTTCAGATTTACTGTAAATTTAAACAATTAAACATTTAAACAACAAAACAAGTAATCAATTATTCAATTAATCATACATTCATTGATTCATACCTCCATTGAAATCCAGATTTACAGCAAATGTGTTATGCTTATGCATATGACGAAGTCACGAAGACACGAAGTCACGAAGGACGAAGGCTCAAGGGCGGCTGTTGAACCTCGTCACTGCTGCGAACTGCCGGCGAACGGTGGACGGCGTCACGGCGAGCCGGCTAGGCGACAGGCGAGGGCGAATCGAAGAGAGAGAAATTGAAAATTGAAAAACTTAGGGTTTGGCTGGCAAATGTCGCAACAGAGCACTGTAATTGCATTTTTTTTTTAAATTTTTTTTTTTTTTAATTTTTTTTTTTTTGAAAATGGGGGGACAAGTGTCCCCACATGTCCCCTTCTAGCTCCGCCCATGTGTCACATCAATACCCTTTCATTAAGACATGTCATCCAATTACGGTCTTATTATGCCATGTCACACACTCAACACCACATGACTCTTAACATGTTTCTCAAAAACAATATACACATATTTTGAACACGCAACTTCATTTCTAATTCGTTATTTATTAAAAATACTTTAAGTAGATACATTGTATTGACCCAAGGTAGCGCCGGGGCTCGAATACTAGTTTTGTAATGAAATGGTTGTGTTATTGATATGGCTCTTATTAAAGAAATTTATCCTATGATTTAATCCATCCGTTACGACTTACGCTTTGAACTTTAATGTTAAATTCTTATTTAAGGTAAGGAATAGTAAAATATTGAATATAGAATTGATTATTTTACAAAAGTGAAATGTTGCAAAATAATAATTAATTACTGTGTTATTAATTAATAACAACAGAAAATGTGTCATTGGTGTGTCACGTGTTTTAACAAGATTTGGAACCAAGTGTTTTAACTAGATTTCACTAATAATAAACTAATTGAAATTTGCTATTTATTTAATTGATTGTTCTTGGACGCTTGTGCCTGTGCCTGTATGTAAAGGCCCAAATCTTCATCATGGGTCACGAACATATCCAAACTCTTCAATGGGCAAGCTGAATATTTTTCCTAAATTATACACGTCAAATCGTCAATATAAACCTTAGCATTCATCTACACATTCAGATTTGCATAAAACATATCCATACATTATAGTGGGCTTCATACAGTACATCATAAAATCCATTTTGTGAATGCAACAAAATTTAATAGACAGAACTTATAAAAGAAAATGTTGTAGTTTTTTTTTTCTTTGGTAATGTAAATCGACTACATGTAACCAACATTTTTTAATTATTACTCAACTAGTGTACTATAATTCTGCCGAAAAAATCACCCTTACGCGCTGGAGGATTCTCCATTCCAAACTTGTGTGGACGTTTCCTCATTTACTTTCTTGGTACCCCATCGTAAAGCAAATAGATCCGAACGTCTACGCCTATCTCTACTTGTACAATATAGTAGCTGCGAAACTTCCTACATAACACATAAATAGTATTTGTAACATTATACAAAAAGTCGTTGAGAATCAAATAAAATCAAAGGTGAGATATATAATATCACTCACATTTACTAAAAAATAAATAAAAACACTTAAATAACTCACATCAAACATCGGAGATTCCTTGGGTCCTAATGTGTCCCTAGCTACTTTAGGATGTCTTTCTCCATATGCAACATCCAATAGCTAAAAAATACATTGGATAAAGGTGTCAAGTTCACTAATTGATTAACAATTCAGAATTAAAACTAACTAAGTATACTAACTTAACATGATTGCTTACCCCAATTTTTCCATAATCACCAGAAATATTTCTATCTAGCTTCCCTGCATAACCTATTCGCTCCATGCTCCATACCTTCAAACGAGGATATACATCCCAGTCATAGGGATCCAAATTCAGACGATCTAGATAGAATATCTGCAACAAAGGACATGATTAAATTATATACAAGTATCAAAATAATTGAACAAATAATATTAATATTTATAAAATACAACACCACAAAAAATTATTGCACAAATTAGATACTCACTACAGCAAATATAGCACATCCACCGCAACCACCTGTAAAACCATTAGCATAAAAACGTCGCGCAAAATTTGTAACACTTTGAAGAAATTTTTTCAAAACAAGGTCACACCAATCATAGTTTTTGCATTCCATAGCACAACTCAATGCCGATAACAAGTCAGATGCTAGTCTTGGTGACTGTGTTGGGCATAAAATCATTTGAAGGGCAAGGATTAGGAATAATGTTTTGAATTCTTCTTCATCATTTGCCTCAAACTGTCCCTCCAATCGATCCATCATCTGTACGGTAACAGGGATGCCCATTGAAGTGTATGTGCGACCGCATTGTTGGTTAGGTGTCGTCTCCCATGTCCTTCCATATTTCAATAAAACATTCCGCATTGTTGGTTGCTGAACCAAGATGTCCAGCATGTTGTCTTCATTACAGTCACGCCTCCTCTTACCCAAATCGTATTGACCCATTCTGATTGTGTGATAGGATGCAAAGAAGATCTACAGTGTTTTCAAAGCGGCAAAGATATGGAGGTTGTGGATTTGAAAAAAAAATTAATTAACATACATTTGTTGTCCATTCCAAATGATGATTTCAAAGGAGAGAGAGTTGAACTTTGAAGGTGGAGTAACAAAAACCCTAGTCTGACGTTAACTGACGACTATGAAATGGAGTTAAGTCCAGATGTACAAGCGTATGTTTACCTGGATGCTCAGTCAGAGTAAAATTCCATGTCGTCACTGTAAAATTACAAACGCATCCTCATAGTAATAGGTTGAAATACCTGAATAGCCCCTAGATTGACGAAATTCGTTTATCAAGAAGATCAACAGGTATTTTCCGGTTGAACTTTGTAGTTGCTCTGTTAGTGGTGGTGTATATACATTCATAAGTACATACATACATATATACACTCGATGTATAGGTAGCTAGTTGTATATGTTTTGGATATTAATTTTCGAATTTTATGTTGTTGATATTGTAATAGCTAGGAAGCTAGTCTGCATTTGTTTTGAACAAGTCAATAAAATTGTTTTTTTTTTGTGTAGTGAATTCTGAATATATTACTTTGTATCGTGTTTGCAATATATATTTTGTTGTTTGGTTCGTTGATGTTTACTTTTATTGATTTTATAAATTAATTGATCGATTTAGGTGGTTAACTTGAGAAGAAGTTTACAGATTGTTTGATATATACAAGTACTTAATGACTGATTTTTTCAATTTTAATTTACCGGAGTAATGTTACAATGTTGACTTGAATTGATTATTTCAAAATCGATTTTCACTCATTTAAAGAAAGAGGCAGTAGTGTTGCCTAATTCATAATTCTTGGCTGGTTACTTCGTTTAATTTGATTTCGTATGCAACAATATACAAGGTAAGTTTGGGTAAGGTACTAAAGTTATAAGGAGAGAGGGGGTATATATATAGGAGCTATTGAATAGAAAAATCCGAACCTCCAAAGTATAATGGCCATCTTACATTATTATCCTTTTTGCATATAGCTAGAATATGCATTTTAAGATTATTATTTTAACCTATGTAATTCTATTATTTGTGTGTACAATTAGATCATTATAACTTTTTTCATTGCAAGTTATATACTCCGTATATTTTTCATAACTTGAGCTTTTACAGAGTGAAATTCAAAGGTTTGTTATTTGAACTATGTACGTCTTTACTCTTTAATGTCAATTTTAAGAATGTAGTAGTCGTTTGGTATTTTAAATGATCGATCTAGTTAATTATGTCAATTTTATGAATGTAGCAGTCGTTTGGTATATTTCTTATTTGTATTTTTTTTGAGGAATTTTTATTTCTATTCTAATTTTCAATTAAGTTCAGTCCAACTTCAATCAGTTTAGTTTAGTTCAGCTTCTAATTTCCTTCTTTCATAAAATATTCATTTCACCTTAGTTCAGTTCAGTTCAGCTCCAATCAGTTCAGTTCAGTTCAGTTTAGTTCATTTCAGTTAAGCTCCAATCAGTTCACTTCAATTCAGTAAATGTGAACATACATTTACTCAATACTATAGAGTATATGCTATCATTAAATTCCAATTTTTTTTCTTTGTTAATTAAAAGTCTAATTTTAGAGTTACAAACAAATGGCTAAAGAATTGTAATCACTATAAAGTGCTCCAGAGTTCTAGTATTGATATTGTCAAAACAAGATCAAGTTAAGACGATTTTAAAATGAGGAGACATTATCTGAATTAATACACGATAACAACAGTAGTATTTGTAGTGTTGTTTTCTTATCTTTAGCAATTACTACTTGGGTTTGTACATTTAAACACAACAAAAAGATAAGTCTCACAAAATAAACCTCATCTCAGCCCAAAACTACACATTCAGTTCCCAAATATTTCAGTTACACCGTTAACTTCCTCCACACTCAACCATACCAACAGAAAACCAGACAAAAGAAATACAAATCGAAATAAACAATCCTCAATTCCAACCCCATTAAATCCAGAATATTCTAATTCGTTGGATCACTGACGTGTCACATCAATTCAGTTAAACCCACGTCCACGTCATCTTCTTGCACTTTCTTCCAATTCAAATCTTTCTCTCTCCCCCTTTAAATATCAAAATACCCCCAACATTTTACAACAGAATTTCTCAACTCAAGCAAACATTTCTCTGTAATTCCAAACCCTAATTCCTCGATTCCAGCTCAATTTCTCTCTCCTCGGTAATCCATTTCTTTCTTTACTTTCTTTTTTACTTCTTCGATTTGTTTAATTTCATTCAATTGTTTTTTTCTGGAAATTTGCTCTGTTTTTTGGTAATTGTTGAATCACCATCATAATCTTTAATCTTAATCGATTAGTTAACTTCGAATATTAATTAGTTCTTCAAATTGAATTCTACAACCGATTCATTTCTTTATTATTCCTTCGATTTATTAAACTCGAATTTTGCTCTGTTTTTTTCGTAATTGTTGAATCATTACAATAATCTTTAATCTTAATCGATTACTTAACTTTGAATGTTAATTTTCATTTTATAACTTGAATTAATTGATTTAAAACTTGTTTAAGTTCTTTTGCGCAGTTGAATTCGAATCGAAATGGCTCGTACAAAGCAAACTGCTCGTAAATCTACTGGTGGTAAGGCTCCTAGGAAGCAACTTGCTCAAAAGGTACATCATAATCTTTAATTTCTAGGGTTTTTCCGATTTAAATCGATCTTTTTAATTGATTATTTTGTATTATTTCCAAGGCTGCTAGAAAATCACTTCCTGAGACTGGTGGTGTTAAGAAGCCTCATCGTTACCGTCCCGGCACTGTCGCTCTTCGGTAATTTTACTTATTTTTTTGAATTACTAATCTTGATGATTTTTTCTAAGAGTATTTAATTTGTTACATAATAGTAATATAATGTTTCTTCTTGATTTTTTTTAATGAAAATGCAGTCAGATTCGCAAGTACCAGAAGAGCACAGAGCTTTTGATCCGTAAACTCCCATTCCAGCGTCTTGTTCGTGAAATCGCCCAAGAATTTAAGGTAAAATTACACTGAACAGCTTTATTGATTTTAATTTAATGATGTAAGTATTGTTTAATTGAAATTGATTAGGGTTTTGTGTTGTTTTAATTTGTTGGATGAATAATAGCATGATCTGAGGTTCCAGAGTCACGCAGTGTTGGCACTCCAGGAGGTGGCCGAGGCGTACATTGTGGGCTTGTTCGAGGACACTAATTTGTGCGCCATTCATGCTAAGAGGGTCACCATCATGCCTAAGGATGTTCAGTTGGCTCGTCGTATTCGAGGCGAGCGTGCTTAAGAATGAAGATTCAACAAGCTAAAGGATCGATGTAATGTTTAGCAATTAAGTGTAATGTTTTGAATCAACTTTGTAGGAGTTGTTCTGTTAGTGATAGACTCGATAGTGGATGTGTTATAGCTAGTTGAATAATGTTTTGGATATTAATTTTTGCATTTTATGTTGTGATTGTATTAGGGAGTCTCTGCACTTGTTTTGAACGATTGTTTTCAACAATTTAAGTCAATAAAATTGCTTTTAGTGTAGTGAATTCTGAATATATTACTTTGACTTGTGTTTGCAATATTCTTCGATGTTTGGTTCGTTATTGTTTGATTTTATATATATGTTAATTGATTGTTTTATTAGGTGGTTAAATAACTTAATTTGGGCAAAAGTTAAAAGAATGTTTGACAAGAATATAAATGACTGATTTTCTCAATTTTACCGGAATAATGTTACAAACTTACAATGGTAGTGTGATGTTAAATTTGAGTTAAGATTTGCGTGGAAAATTGACAAAGAGTTGTGATGGATATGATATAATTTTTACTCATAACACCTTAGTAGTAGTAAGGTTTGAAAGTTCTTATTGTACATGGCTAAATATATGTTCATATAAATTTATGAGTCGGAATTAGTAAAACTTTATATTTTGTTGCAAATATTTGCATTTCATGATGGTTTTGGGTTTTGATCCTAAGCCTTAGGATTAGACAGAAGCAAATACTTGTTTCAAAAAAAAAAAAAAAAAAAAAAGACAGAAGTAAATACTCCAAACAAGGTTCTAGACCTCTAGAGTTCTAGTAATGAGTAATGGGTATGTACGACCTTTACAATTACGGAAGGCCGCTTATAGCTAACATTATGCAATATTTCACGTAAATTATATTTTAGTAAATTCTTTTGATTACTACATTGCACATCGTTGTTTTGATTTAACTTTAATTTTTTTGATCAATTTTGAATGGCTACAATTTTAATTTCTTGTAGCATTATAAGTGGTCTTTCGATCTTAACCGTCAAAATTCAATAAATAACCTCAATCGTTGGTAGGTTTGATTACATGGTAAAAACAACTAAGCATGTATGATGTATGTATCAGATTATTTTCAATTAAAATCGAAGACCAACAATTCAAGTTTCGTTGGCAAATGGAGATTGTATGGTAGTTCGTCTGCCACTGCTGAAACTTGGAATCAACAATGGCTGGAGCGGATTCTGATCATCTTTCTTTTGCCTTTCTCCTCTAATGCCTGTTGGAGTTATTCTCTTATTCCTATAGTACAACTCCAAGACTAGGTTCATCAATTTTGCTTCAAAAGATCAAAACTCAAATTTGGTTGATTGCCTTAATTAATATCAATCAGTTGACTTTGATTATCACCATTTTCTCACTAACCGTTTGCTTATTGATACTCTACAAAGTTGGAAGCTAATTGATAGACATGCATAATTAAAGGGAGGTAATTTGATACTCTTTGACTTTGGGGTATGCATGTTTTCCAGTGAGTATTGAGTAGTCTAGGTTCATAATAAGCAATTGATTTGTTCACTCATTTTAAGGGAGGTATTGGATTATTGATACTCCTTGATTTTGGGTGATTGCATAATAACCGTGAGGGGTTGCTTCTTTGGGGTGGAGTGCTCCACTATAAATTGATGATCCTCCATTTCATTCAGACACGGAAAAATCACATACTACATCTTATTTTTTACTCCAAAATGATACAAAATACTATGGTCTCTAATTGTTGGGCAATGTTCAAAGTGTTCTCAATCTAGCTCTTCGTGGTACACCGTAGAGTTGGAGTCGTGTATCCCTGGAGGTCGGCTGCTACGAGTCCGTGTGTACTGTACAGGGCAAATTCGACTTTAGGGGAGTGATTTATTGTCACGCCACGACAATTTCAGATAAGCCGTTCTAATTTTATCCTCTAGTAGTCATACAATGTTATTCTATAATAGTATACTTCTTACAATGCCGCCCAAACTTGGACTGCCCTAGCGGTTTAATTTATGGTGGCCATTTGGCCAACGAATCTCCATCCTGACGAAGTATGTTATTATTTTAGAGAAATCATGAGCAAGTAATGATCTTATTTGTTGTGAATGGTATAGATTAATTAGAGATAGTTACCATGGCACACAAACGGAAGACTTTATTTGTTATGGAGGCGATCACACCATCTAATCTTCAATGGTATTGATTACCATGTCACTTCACGATTGAATGAAATAAAAAAAATAATAATAATCATTTAAATCAAACATTACAATATAACATAATGAAATCGAACCAAATTCAATATCTAACCGTTACCTTGCCCCTCACTCAACCAAGAAAATAAACACTACCCACAAAAGAAACACAAAACCATCAACAAAAAAACCTTAATCCGTGTCTTCCATAAAACCAACCAATCAAAACTCACTAATCAGAATTAACTTAATTATTCGGATTAATGACGTGTCAAAAATTACAGTTACTATAGCCACGTCAGCCTCTTTCTCCAACCGCCTTACCCCCCTCCATTTTTCAGTCTCCTATAAATAACCCCCAAACTCCATACTGCCATGCATTCTCCTTCTCAACTGCACCAAATATTTCTCAATTTCCTCTTTCTTTCTTCAATCCTAATTCTCCGATTTTAGGTATTATTTATAATCTCTCTCTTCCCTTTAATTCTTCCCATTTTCTTTTTATTTCGACTATAATTTTATGATTTGTTCATTCATTAATTTGTTCTTAGTTTAATTTGTCACGAGTTTAACTTGTTTTGTAAAAACTTGTTTGAAGTTCTTTTGGTGTTGAATTTGAATCGAAATGGCTCGTACGAAACAAACTGCACGTAAGTCGACTGGTGGTAAGGCTCCGAGGAAGACACTTGCTCAAAAGGTATATACATTCAGTCATTCATTCATCATACATCATAATCTTTGATTTCTAGGGTTTTTTCAATTAATTTTACTTTATTCTTGTTTGATTTTTTTTTTTTTTTATTTGTTCTTTGTAATTCATCATACTCGTTTATGATTATTTTGTTTTTTTTTTTTTTGAATTGAAGGCTGCAAGAAAATCTGTTCCTAGGTCCGGTGGTGTTAAGAGGCCTCATCGTTACCGTCCTGGAACTGTTGCTCTTCGGTAATTTTATTCTGGTTGAATTTTATTTATTAATGTTGTTGATTTTTAATTTTTTACATTTTTGGTACGTTGTAGTAATTATTAATGTAAATGAAAAATTAAATTATTTTGATAGTGCATTAATGTTGATAATGAAAGATGATTTCTAAATTTTGATCATTTTTGTTCGTGATGATGCAGTGAAATCCGTAAGTACCAGAAGAGTACTGAGCTTTTGATCCGTAAACTCCCATTCCAACGTCTTGTTCGTGAAATCGCTCAAGATTTTAAGGTAAATTATGGTGAACAATGTGATTAAAATTTTGATTTTAATGGTGTAATTCAAGTATAATGTGAAACTGATTAGGGTTTTGGTGTTTGTTATCTTGGGATGATGAATAGGTTGAACTAAGGTTCCAGAGCCACGCAGTGTTGGCAATCCAGGAAGCGGCCGAGGCATACCTTGTGGCTTTGTTTGAGGACACTAACTTGTGCGCCATTCATGCTAAGAGGGTCACCATCATGCCTAAGGATGTTCAGTTGGCTCGTCGTATTCGCGGCGAGCGTTTCTAAGGAGATCGTGGATGGATGCATGATAGACAGCTTTAGGGAGGGCTTATAATTCACAAAAAAATAGGTTTTAGTTGGTGTGGTGTGAATATAATATTAAACTCTATTATCAAGTGTTAGAATATGTGGTACTTTTTTAGTTTGATGTTATCTTTTGAAGGTTTTTAATTAGGGTAATCTAGAATAAATTATCAGTGATTTAGGTTTGTGTGAAGTACTTAATGAAGTAATTGGTTTGTGTGAAGTACTTAATGAAGTAATTTCTAATGTTTCGATTAATAGTAATTTATGATTTTTTTTTTTAATTTTTTTTTTATTTGTGCTTATGTTTTGATTAATGAGTAATTTCTTATGTGTCGATCAATTTTTGTTAAAAGATTAAGAAGATTGGCTTTGTTAACTTTGCTGGTTAAATTCTTTATTAAATTGGTATAAATGAGACAAATGGTAGGTTAAAATTTCCTGATCCACTTAAAAATTAAGGAATAAAGTTATTAATTTACAAGTTAATCAATTAACATATAAATCAAATTAAAAGTTGATCTTTACAAACGGATTTTGCATGCTCTACTTTGATAAAAAAAATTGGTGCATAAGTGTTAAAAAAAAAGGGGTCGATTTTCAATTCAACACAAATCAATTCAGGTCCAGGCTTCAACCCAAATGCCGCGGCCTTTATGATCACTTGGAAGTTGGAACATCAACCACAAACTAAATATTTTATATGGTCGAATTTCGAAAAGAATTGTTTTCGATACAACATTTTAAATTAACAATTCAAAGAAAAGAATTGTTTTTGATACTACATATATGTATACTTTTCACTTATATGTCTAAACTTAATTGTATCTATCCAAACCTATTTGAAATTATCTAAACTTGTTAACTCGATGGAGCTTGTGTAGCAATGTAGGTAGTTGTTTCTTGGTAGGTTGATAGTAGTACACTAGTACCATGAGTAGGATGGACTTGGGTACACTTAAGTTCTTAATTCCCCTCACTCCCTTCACTTCTTTTCTATTGAAATCATCTCTACCCGCAATCATGCAAGCGAACTTGTTAGTTGTTACACACCATGTCAAAATATTTAAATATTTACGGACAGTAGATATTTTCATATTTCCCTATTTCCCTAAACAAAATTTCAAAAGTAAAAATATATTTTTCACTCAACGAGTTATTTTCAAATAAAGTCGAAATTTGTTTGGTGTATTTCATATATATACTACCTCCTTTACTTTTTAGTTGTAACAATACAATTTTTTATTTCATAAAAAATGTCTCCTTGCTGCATCAAAAAGTATTGAATGTAGTAAATTGTTCTCCGTGAGAGGATTTATATATGGACTATAGAGTGTGTATCGCAAGACCACTAGATTATGTGATGGAATTTCGCTATTAAGTTAAGCGGGCGTGTCCAATTTTAATTTTCACCACCTATTAACTATAACTATAATAAAAATGCTGATCTGATATCATTAATTGACCATGTCAACTTCTTATGAAAATTTTTCCCGTAAAAACAAACTATTTTGGACATCATTATTTGTTTTTCCTATATTTTTTTATTCCTAAGTTCTAAGACTACATAATACAACACTTTTTCATAATTAATTAATGAGATTATTATCATTACACTTTTTCGAATAAAGAATATTGACAATTATTTTAAACAAATAATATCTATATAAGCTATGCAACGTTCTGGACTAAACTAGTACAATAATAAAGTATAAAGTGGGGACTGGTGAGGCATAACATTGTAATTTTTTTTTTAATCATATACTTCTACCAAGTATATATTAAGATTATCGGTATAGAGGTGTTAATTTGGGTCATCGGCCAGTTGAATATAAATTTGTCTAAACTATTGTATCTATGCTTCTATAATTTGGTTTATCACTTTTGCATAGGGTTGGGTCTATACTAGTTGGGTCGGGTTAGTTTTTAATGAGACTGCATCTAGATTGGATCTAATATGAACAATGTATGATATTATTTGTCATTTTTGACTGGCAGGTCGGCATTGTTTCATGATATGTGCATTCCTCGATATGGTACACCGTAGACGTCAAACAATTTTATGTACAAAAGCAAGTAGTTCCCCTCAATAAAATAAAAACAAATTTAGTAATTGGATTTTGTATGTCATTGATTCACGGGTAATACAACCAATTTTTTGTTTGCTTCTTAACGATTCAATTCACGGACTGTCCTGAGAGCTCTAGTTTGACACGGGCTAATTCTAATAGTCCACGTAGAATGAGTCTAAAATGCGAAATCGTATCAGTTATTAGTCGATTAACACTAAACAAAACACACCCTCAAATTAAAATATTTAGTCGTGTGAATAGTGTAATCTAAAGAAGTAAAGTGACAATGTCATAACTAATACTTCATCTTTCATAGAATTTGTATACTAGATATTCAAAAAAAGAATCCATTTCTTTTTAAGTTATCATAATATCATGAAAGAAAGAAGGATCTTGTATGAGCTTATGAATGTCAACTTCACATGTGTCATAAATATTGCAAGTAGCATATTTTGGGATTGCTAATTTCTTGTTTGTTCTTGTACTGAATTTCTTGTTTGTTCGATCATATGCGCCAAAATATGTATTCACATGCATAATTTTGTGCTATATACCAACTATATTGTACGTCTATGAAGTATTTTTAAGGTAGATAAAGGAAAAAATACCCCATTAAATCAACACATCTTGCATGTTAATTGTTTTTAATTTGTACTACAACTTTAGTAAATGAAACCTTGCATGGTACATCTACAAAGTATTAGGTAGATCTATCTCACAAATATAAACAAAAAAAAAAAAAAAAAAAGGAAGTTCATTTGGCATTGTATCTTAAATTCTTAATTCTGTTCTTGTAGCTTTTTACAAAATTATGAAGAATTACTATGTAACAATTGAGTTAAAAAAAAAAAAAAAAAAAAAAGAAAAAAAAAAAAAAAAAGACTAATCACATAAGTTGAACCCAAATGCCTACGCTAGGAACACTTTGATGAACCACAAATAACATATAAAAGGCCGGAGGAGCAATGTTAATAGATCCGGGTGTTCTAACATTGACTTGAAATCGACCCGAATCCATACGCATTGCGGCCGTTGTATTGGTTAGCACCAACAATCTTTGGCTCATTGAGAAGGAATGTGTGTTAAAAGGTGGACTAATCAGGGTAACCTTAATTGAATCTAGGTCAATAAACTCGGTAATTATGAACTTAACCTCTAAGAGCTTTCCATAATGAATCTTAGAGCTAGAAGCTGGGGTGACAATAATGGGTCGTAACTTTATTTTGGAGGGATCTAAATATGGGGGTGAAAATGCCTCCAAGCTAAGTTCAGTAGGATATAGCACATTGGTGAAGTTGTTGAACTTATGTGGGTTACTCCCTCCCACTAAAATTCTCCCATCGCGTAACAAAATTGCACTTGAATGGTACATCCTTGGGACTTGAGATTGGTTAAGAAGTTCGAATCTAGATTCGAAAACACTATTTGGGCGGTAGATTACTGGGCTAAGTACAGGGTCTCGACCCAGCTCCCACCCAGCACTACCTGATCCTGCCCCGTTTATTAGTAATATATCCTCGTTGGGAAGGATCACCATGTCACTCATGACACGAGCCATTGGCATAGTCTCAATGGCCCAAGTAGGATTAGGATCATTAATCTTAATTCTGGCACACGTGTTTAGAGCTGGCAAAAACTGACGCGAATGTGCCTTCAAGTATGAACCTAGTGGTGCACCCCCACATATTAACACCTCCGCTTCCACATTCAACCCCAACTCCAAATCCTTCAATGGTAAAAGAACCGCGGACCCCGAGCTCGGGTAGCTACGCGGGTCACCACCCGGGATAGTTGGATAGGTCCGAACAACAACATTTTTAACATAATTAAGCAAAATAGCTCGATTGTTAGCAAAAATAAACAAGTTTCCATCTACATGGAGAAACACAAAAGGGTACAAGTTATTTTCCACATTATGAACATTAGTTTGTGCTAGAAACGGTAGCTTGTAAAGTTGAGAAGTAGAACGTGTTATTTTTGGATAAAACTCATAATTGAAGGCTCTTCTACCTCCTATGACAATTATACGACCATCAGGCAAAATATGGTTGGTAGCGTACCATCTTCGGATTAGTAGTTTGTTGGGAAGTTCTACCCAATCACATACGCCACAAGATGGTTGAAAAGTTCTAACAACGCGCTCTCCATCGTTGTAACCACCGGTTTGAACAAGTGTACCGTTGGGGAGGGTGGCTCCGGAGGAGCACCACGTGTCGGTTAACACGTTGAGGGGTCGGAAGGTGTTTGAAATAGAGTCATACTCAACCGAGTGAGCCGTGCAATCGGTCTTCAAGGTCAAGTCATGAGGGTTCTTACGACATAGACCGTTAGGAAGTGAGACATTAGAAGGGCCAAAGTCGGTCCTATCGAATATTAAAACACGGTCATCATTTAAGAGTTGCATGTGCATGGCAGAAATGCCGATACTTTTTTGTAGGAGCTGCCATTGGCCATCCCCTGCAGTATATATGCTGCGGGGGAAGAGGATGAGGAGGAGGAGGAGGAAGAAAACGGGAGTAATTGACATAAAACGGGATAATGTACTTATATAAATGATACTTGTTTTTTTATTTGTGGCTTTGGTTATAGGAAGTATCTATAACTAGTTATGAGCAAATTTTTTGGTTGATAATATTTGTATTTTTGTAAAGGAATTAGGAGGGGACACTATGTTGGATTATATAGACATGTTGTGAAGTTGATATGATGAGGAGACAAACTGTGGGCTTTGTCTTTGAGGAATTGCAATTATGACTGTTTCTTGCACAAGTAAGCGGCACAAACTAGTCAATTACCAAGGGCATGTAATTGGCAATGTAAATAAAGTCTACTACATTTACGTAACATGTTTAAGACGTATTTTTTTATTATGACTGTGGAACTAATTGAATGCTAATTAAACTTTGATACTTTTTAATTGTTTTTTTTTCCCCGACCGTGTTATATAATTAATTCTGTGAGTAGCACGTAATACAAATTAGAACAAATATGTTAATCTTATTGAAAAAGTAACCCCAAATATTTGTGTATTTATTACTGTATTATTTACTCTTGATTCTCATAAACGGTAACTTTATTAAATTGGACATTGTTTTTGGTGTTTATTGTCTAAGCTTTGGGCCATAAGCATTTTTCAATCAACACAATTAAGATCAAACTAGGGTTCAATCCCCTCAAAGAAAAAATCAAATAGTAGTGAAAATAAATTAGAAGAAAAAGAAAAAGAAAAAAGAAAGGAAAATAAGCTAATATAGGCCTTGATGTATAAGTTGGACACAATGCTAAACGTCTTAAACATTACACAAATGATAGTGTTTTATTCTAATGTGACATTATATTACACATCGTCAAATTGACCATGAAAAGAGATAAGATAACAGTAGGAATGAACTAGGAAGAAGAAAAAATTAACAAAAT